AGCAATCCATTGCCAGACACTACACTGGTATTTGATACTTTGTATCAAATTTTCGAGGTAAACGCAACAATGTTTACACTTTATGCTCTTACCTACTTACATTGTTTTGTTGAGATTTTAATATAAATTAAATTTAATCAAATTATGACTAGTTAGGCTAATATCAGTTTAGAGATAAATATTTTAATTTGGAGTTAACTTTTACATAATAAAAGGAAAAATACACACACAAAAAGTGAGAAACGGTAAATGCAGAAACAAAGAGTATAACGTACTATTAAAACATAATTCTTATGATACAGTCAGAATAATTATGGTTTCCTACCTTGACTGAAGCAGGCAAAGATGGCAATACATGTACAAAGGAGGATGGTGTCATGTGGTCTTTCTTGCTATTTAACCGCTAGAAAACATGCACAAACATTCGAGGTAATTGAATAAAAGGAAAAAAAAAATACTAAGAAACAATGGTGTGAGAAACTATAAATTAAAAAAAATGAGTATAAATTGTTAGTAAACCAAATTTAAACATTTGCAATCGTTTAAGTAATTATAATGTCAAAATTGTCATCGTTTTCTACCTTGACTGAAACGGGCGCAGAGGTTGGTGTCCTGTGGCTTTTCTTTCGACGTAACCGCCAGAAAACACGCAAAAGCACATTCGGAAAAATTGATTTTTTAGGGGCATGTACAAGTGGAGGTCCAGGTGTTGACATTTGTGCAGATGCAGATGCCTGTTGGAGTACCTCTGTTTGGCTTCCTTTTTCTTTCAATTTCTCTGCGACTTTATACTCTATTGCATTATCGTAAATCTGCTTTATCCGTTCACAGTCTATTATATATTTAAAATAATAGATAAATACATCATGTTAAGGAACAACTTACAAACACATAACATTATGATTTAAAATTAAATGTTTCTTGTCATACCGTCTAGGTCCACTGTCTCTTTCCACTCATTGCAGAACGTATCTGTAGTTTGAAAAGCTGTGGTCAACACTATGCCATCGGTCGATGGTTCGTTTTCATTAAATCTGTGGGTGTTTAGAAAATAACATTAAAAATCAATGAATGGTAATGAAAGAATAATTTAAGTATGAGGGACTGGGTTTAAAATGTTAGGTAATTTACAGGTACGAGTTAATTAATATTCATAAATTTCATAAATTATGAATGCTAAACTTAACAGGAAAATATGAAATTAAAGAACACTTGCTCTGGCCATCTGTAGGTCCGCTCGAGTCAGCTCGGCTAAGCTAAACTAGGCCGAACGATTCATTCGAGTTTGATATGTCTGTTGCAGCCAGAATTATATATGCATAACATTTTAAATTATGTATCTTACTTCTGATCAGCACTAAATTCAAAGAGAACCGAGAAACATTTAACACTGACGATGTGTGAAAAATATGAAGTAAATCGGTCTAAGAAGGCAGCAGGAAGGACACAAATACACACAGAAGGACACACACACAGGCAGGTAGGTCCTTATATCGAAATCCTACTCTGGATCGCCAGCAAAATGTAATAATTTTTTTTCCAACCATCA